GCGGAGCTTGAGTTACCTCCCTCTCAGAGGCTGGTACGGCACTTAACTGAGATTATTCTTCTAAGTTCTTCTTGACTTATTAAGGTTTATGCAATATGACATAGCATAGCATACTATAACATGGAATGTACTCAAACACATATACTTCATGTGCACTGCTTAATTGTATGCAGTATGATCTAGCATAGTATACATAACATTAAATTAACTCAAGCACATATAATTCATGTGCGCTGCTTATGTGTATGCAATATGACATAGCATCGCATACAATACTTAAAGCATAAACATGCATATGTAACATGTGTAACTTTTTCTTTAAAATCTATTCATACTGTAGGCGAGATTCCTACTTACTTGATTTACAGAGCTGGAATCCACTTTTCGCCAAACAACCTATTCTCTTACTTGCTTACTTCTGAAAATGAACACCCATTGAGAGTGTGAGATTATCTGTCGTTTGCTATTTTATTTTAGCAGCTTATGAAGGAAATCCAGCCCTTTACTTAAGGCATGTATTCCTTTCCTTTACTTGAAGGATAATTTACTATAAGGATCAATTTATTAAATCCACAATATCTTATTTTCCTTAATTGCCCTTAACATACTTATGTCTAGGTTGAAAATCATTTACCCAATCTAGTAACTTATTCTCCATAATTTTTCCTCATTGGACTCATTATAATATTAAGGCCCAATTCGGCCTAGAAACTTATTCACGTCATTCTAGCTCTTAGGCCGTTGAAATTTAAACTCTAACGGAGTCTCTTAAATTAATGCGGGCGTTGGACCCACATCAAATCCTCAAAATTCTAAGGACCTATCGTGTTGGGCTTGTAAGTGCCCGTCGGGATGTTTTGCTCGAAAACTATTAAGCTTTTAAAAGAACTATCATTCAATTTTTATAAAATGATAACTCACTCATTTAGTTACAAGCACTAAAATCCCATTGTAAAATCTCTTTTCGAATATCGACTTTTGAAAACTATTCCCTAAGTCGTTTTACGGTTGACTTGTAAACCACCGTGAAACCATGTTGTAGAAACCCTTTTTTTGAAATCTTTCTTCACGGCTATTCCTCATTATAGCGAGGTCTAAAACCATATTATTTTACTGAAATCACATCTCAGGTTCTTTGATAACTTTTTGTTAAAAACGTCACTGTTTTAGTTTCATTTTTGTTAAAACTGTGCAGTTTCTGAAATATGCATTTCACTGCATCTTAGAGTCGGATTTTGAAAATCTGTTCTTCACAACAATTCTTCGACTCGTCGAGATCTAAAATTATCGTTTTTGGATAAAGTTGAAATTCAGCCTCTAAAGGCCTCGTTTGGCTGAAAATAGTGGCTGCTATTTTTTTTTCTTTTGCTGTAGCAATGCTGTAGCAATCCTTTTAAAAATGCTATAGAATTGTTGTAGCAATCTTCTAATATTGCTGTAGCAATCTTTTTGAAAAGGTTTTAGGATTGCTGTAGCAATCTCTTTTAAAATGCTGTAGGATTGCTGCAGCAAATCTTCTTTTAAAATGCTGTAGGATTGCTGTAGCAATGCTGTAGCAATCGCCCCTTTTTTTCTATTTCCGAAACTGTGTTTCACAGCCCGTCCATTTTTGCAAACTGGCTTCAAACTTGCTTTTAGAGTTAAAATTGGGTTTTGTCATAGTCATAGAAAATGTTCAAAACATCTAGGGCTATAAGTTCAAGTTTTGAAACATTGAAAAATCTCGCTCTAGAGTTCTTATTTTCGCGTTCAAAGTGACTGGAAATTTTTCCTCTAACCGGAAATAAGCAAACTTAAATCAAGCATAATCATACCACATTAAACTAACCTCATAACTCACAAAACTAACATAAAACTCACACACCCTTATTACAACACATCTTCCTCAAGAACCACAAATTTACATCCATAAATCCAAGCTTAAAGTTAGCTAGAAATTAATGGAGGAGAGTTCGAGAACTTACCCTTGAAGAACTCTCTCTCTCCCTTGAAAACCTTTGAACTCCTCTAAGATTTGTTAATGGCTTGGAACTAGAAAGTATAAGGAAATTTAAGAGGAATATTTCTACATTTCAAACTTTACTAAAACATAAAAAGAGAGGGTTTAGAGTTTCCTTACCCTTGGAGGAATGCTTGACTAGTCTCCTCCTAGACCCTTTGATCTCTTTCTTCTTCTTCTATGGTTTGCTAGTGGCTCAAGATTGGAAGAGTGGAGGAAAACATTTGAGAGGAAATGTTGTAGGGTGGCCGGATTTTTGAGTGGGGAAAAAGCTAGGAGAAAAAAAATGAAGCTTATCCTATGTTGGTTCCTTTTATAGGCAACTTGGAAATTATTTTTTTAACACCAATTCCACTCCATCATTCAACCAAATTTTTAGTTAAAGTCCCCCTTTCTTGGCCGGTTTTGGAAGGAGAAAA